GTGGATAAGTTGGCAAGTAGGTAGATAGGTAGATAGGTAGATAGGTAGATCAGTAGATCAGTAGACCGGTAGATAGGTAGGTAGGTAGGTAGGTAGGTAGGTAGGTAGGTAGGTAAGTAGGTAGGTCGGTCGGTCGGTCGGTCGGTCGATCGGTCGGTCGGTCGGTCGGTCGGTCGGTCGGTCGGTAGGTAGGTAGGTAGGTAGGTAGGTAGTGGTAGGTTCTCCTCTGCAAGCTGCACTTTGACCATTCACGACATGCCACCATTGAGGCCAATACTGCTGGGTCAGCACTGGCCCTTGGTCTCCACGGCCTTGGATGACCCAGGCCAGGTCCAAACGCACCGTGTTCGATCCACGATGAGGCCTCATCTTGTAGGGCTGTCCACAACAAGCCAGGTCCAGCATTTACAAGCGAGACCAGCAGGCTGAGGCGCTGCCTTCGTGCATACCAGCTGTAACGGTACATGGAACAGTCGATCGTCTGAACATGCTGAGCAAGCAGCCCGTCTGGCTAGGCGCGCATGTGCCGAGCGCAAGGCTTCCCATGCCGGTCCAGCTGGCAACCAAATTGAAGAAGGTCGCGGAAACCGTAATCTCTTATCTCGACTTGCAGGTCCTGCAGCAAGAGAGTGGCCTCGCAACTGGAGCAGGAAACTCGCCTTTCCCACTTTGGTGTTCGGCTGCATTCCGTGTGCCGTCGGTGCCCCCAATACAAGAGACCCCAACCGTTGGCCAAGAGCTTGGTTGTTGAGGAAGACCACCTGCAATCGTTGGAAAAATACTAGCTTCACTGTCCCATTCCATGGCAAAGTTTAACTCCTCGGCCTCCAGATTTTCGTGGATCCGGTACAGGATGCGGCCTTATATATGAAGGCATATATCACATCCACAAAGGATTCGCTTGGGCGAGATCCAGCTCGGAGTGGCATAGTTGCTGACCGTTCGCATATGCCGTGACAAACCCACGGTCTCAAGTGCATGTCCTTGATTGCGTGGCGGAGCTCATCACTGACTCCGGCCTGTGCCAACATGCCGCACTGCTTCACCTTCTCCATCATATCTCGCATGTCTTCGTCATCCAGGCCAAAGGCCTTGAAGATGCCAGCGTCCTGCCGATCCGTCTCCACAGATGTCGCCTGGTCTCTCACCACCTTGTAATAGGCCGCCTTTGCATCCACAAACAGCGTGGACGAGCTTTTGTTGTATTTGAGGCGACCAACTGGGTCACAATGAAGAGCCGTGGTGAGGCCAGCGGTGCAGAGTGGCAAGTGCCGGAGTGAAAAGGCGCAGGAGCTGCTCAATCTCAGGGCCGATCATCGTCCGGACCGTCTTACCACGGCGGTCGGTGCACCCGAGCTTTTGAAGCTTCAATCAGGATGCCCCCATTCACTTCACGAACATCGGTTGCAACATAGCCGCCAAAGTGGTAGGCACCGCGGTCAATAGGTCACTCGGGACGCCATCCGATCCACAAGCTTTTCCTTTCGGGGTGACTCAGTCTCTCGATGAGGGCCAGGCTCGGCAGTTCATTCATTGCAAGTCCACTGCAATGTTGCATCCATGTTGCTGAGCGTTTTATTCTCCAAGAAGGTCTCGACCATCATGGTGCTGCCCTGCTCCTGCTCCCCGGAGTATCGCAGCCAAATCGTATCCTTGCTGCGCGCCGGAAGTCAGTGCTCGAGCCACAGAGAGCAGGCAATGGCCGTCCAACTGGTCTGGCATGGAGCCTCCAAAGCCTGCTCGCTTCACCCGCTGGGGGATCTGCACCACTCCTTAGTGTCCTTCAGCAGCAATTTGTAGCAGGCCCCTTCTCGTTGTACCAGGCCAACCACCTCATAGTTCACGTCGCGAGCCCACTGTAAGAAGGCGCTTTTCGTCTTTGTCGGACTCGTCTCTCGAAGAGGTTCTTGGTCTCCCGTAACTTCCAGACCTCATCTGGGATGTAACTCGCTCTCGTCGTACGTGCCGGGGCCAGGAAGTACCGCTGGAGGACCTTCGCAAGGAAGCTTTGTAGCCGTCGGCAATGCTCATCTGGATAGGTCGGCCAAGCTGGCTGGACATAGTGCTGCAGTGCCTCTCGTAGAACATCTCATCCTTCCTGTGTTTGTATCTTGTCCCGATCGTATCGGGGCCTCCACAATCTTCTTGTTCCGTCAATCAATACCTTCACATCACGCAGCATGTAGTGATCGAGAATGGGGCTGCCGCTGTCGAAATCTTCACATGCGTGACCCCAGGAAGACTGGACGTGTGCCCGGCCATTAACGGCCACAAAATCAATTTCGTGGCTGGTGCCACATGGGCGCCTGAAAGTCTCGCTGGCCCCGCTGCGCACTTTGTCAAAGGTTGACGGCACCCACGCCCCAACATTGGAGAAGATCTCATTGACGATTCCGCCCGGAACCGCTTCAATGGGGTAGCCCTACTGGATTGCAAGCTGGCTGCCAAAGGCGAAGATCTCAACACTCTCGAGGTCATAGTCTTCCACCTGATTGAGGGCGCTTGCTCTGCTGATCATTCCTTCGTGGTGATAGGCAAAGACTGGGCCATCAATGCCTCGCGCATCGAGCACCAGCACTGTTCGTCCTGACTGCGCAAGCCGGCCCGGGTAGGCCACAAAGCTAGCATAAGGCACGAGCTCGCCAGCAAAGTCCGGTACCACCATAGACTCTCGCAAGGCATGCTTGATGTCGCGGAGGTTAAGCGGTAGGTGCATCTCGATGTCATAGTAGGGGGTGGCCACCCACATTGTGACGTGGATCTTGCCGGCCCCATTGATGACTCGTATTGGTGCTATAGGTCCACAGGGGCTCTAGCATACAGGCCCGGCGGTGGTGCTTCCCCACTGCAATTTTCGACGGCCCCATTCAGCACATTCTCCACTTCTGCCTTCGCCAGCTGTTCCCTCGTGTTCCGGTTCGCGGGCTTGGTCAATTCTGCTGTGGCGCCGCTTGGGCCACTTGAAGGGCCGCAAACACAGCGCATAGCCTGCCCCAAAGGCCCACATAGCAAGACTCTTTTGCCCCTAAGACACATAGTAGCGTGCATCCTGGTAGGCAGAGCATGGTCAAGTCAATTCCACATGCCGTGCTTGTCATAGCTGGTGCCCAACCAGAAAACATCTCCTCGGCATGACCGGTCAAGAAGATGAGGACATCGAGTGTATCAGTGTATCAAAGAATCTCGACATCCTTGTGTATTTGGCTGCGTAGTGGGTGTGGCACCCTTCAGCTCGTGTCCGAGCCTGGGTCCCATCACATTTAGCCCTGCTCCAGGTCCTGGGCAGTAGCATCGAGAGGGCAGTCACAAAGATGTTCACTGCAATCTGCGCCCACAGCAAAGCATACCCAATCCTTCCAGGTAGGTCTACATGTCTGCTCGAGGTAGGAGGAACAGGCCGAAAAAGTGCCCCAAGGAAAATACCCTGCAGCAAAGTACCGCTTACATCCCATCTTCTGCTGGGCAAGGTCCCCGATGACATCCTCCTCGTCCGTCTTTTCCTCGATGGCCACCGCTCTCTCCGCTTCTGTGCGCTTTGCCTCCAAACGACGGCACAAGCACTTTCTGTAGTCTTCGCCATTGTCGGTTTTCGGCCCACGCGCTTGATCGGAGTTCGGCCCGGCTGCGGTCTTGTCCTCGAGCTCTTGTGCCCGGAGACGGCGTGATTCCAGCCTGTAAGGATCCGTCGTGGTTCCACTATGTCCAGCAGGTGCGTCTCCATCTCCACCAGGAGTCTCCTTGGTACTCGCTGCTCCTGCCTGCAGGCGGGGTGTCCGTATGGGTCTGAGCTCTCCTGGGCGGTGTGGCGGAACTTCGCTTCGTCGATGCTTGTCGATGGCCGCCAGTAGCCTCGTTCTGCCTTCTTCTGTGCTGATGTCGCCATCACACAGGGCCCCAGCAAAGAGCGAGGAGTTCTGTCTCACGGCTGACGATGCCAAAAGCTGGGCCAGCTCCTCCATAGCCTCGGTGGTGGAAGCATCCTCGCGCGGGCGTACTATCAACAAACTCAATCTGGCTAAGGTCCTTCAGCTTCTGGAGAGCTTCTTCCTTGATCCACTGCAGTTCCTCCATCTCGGCCGTCAGGCGGGAGACTTTGTCCTGATGTTTCTTGCGTTCCTTGATGAACGACTCCTTCAGCGCTTGAAGGAACTCTGTCCACTTTGCATTTGTTTCTGCCTTTGTCTCTTCCACCTTTCTCCCTTGATCTCTGCCTTGTGGAAGCTGTTGAGGATGCGTTGGACGCCCTTCACTTGGTCGCTTCCTTGAGGGACGCCCTCGTCAATCTCCATCATGTCTCCCTGTCGTGGCATGGGTCTGGTCTGCTTTGCCTCTGCCACCCACCACAAGCTGGCGAAGGGCCGTAGCGGTTTGATGTCCTGCCAAGACGCGGAGCGATCTGCTTTTGGTCTTGTGAAAGGGCCCGGTGTACCCTGCTTCGGTGCAGGGAGCGCTTAGCTCTGAGGCGCCTGTGCCAGGTTGGTGACCTCGGGGCTGTGGTTCGCTCCTAAGGTGTGTCCGTTGACACCTTGCGTTTCTGGCAATGTCGGCCTTTCCGACTCGACTCGATCAAAGCCCAATATATATATATATATATATGCATATATATACATACATACATACATACATACATACATACATACATACATACACATCCAGCAGTATATGTATCCGGTGTGCGAACAGCGCGTGCATGCATTATGTTAGCTGTTAGCTTTTTTGCATTCATATCTACATGCCAGCCTGCTGGCAGATCTATCTCGTTTTGAATAGCCGTACTCAGAAACAGCGAGGCTCCAATTCGAACCGTACGGCAAGCAGCCGGCATCGACCTGCAAACCTCGAAACCGGATGAGAACCCAACCTGCCCCGCGACCCTGTATGGAAGCACATAGGCATGTTCTATTCAATCCCACTGTTTCGGGATTTGCCCGCCTCTTTGGTGAGAGGTTGCAATCCAGCCTCTAGGTCTTTGATGGTGGTCCGTAGCCTTCATGATTTCCAATTTCAGGAAGTGGGTTCGGGGTTCATGGCTCGATTCAAGGTAAACGGCTTCTCTGCCTTCTTTCTGGCAGCACCAGCAACGGCAGCATCGCCATGAACAGCACGAAACTAGTCACAGAATGCAGCATTACTACACCACCGCTGCCGACACCACCACCACGAGCCCTGCCACGACCACCACAATGACAACTGCCTCCAACATAGCCCCCAGAGAAGCCAGCCCCTGTTACAACCCCGCCCCAGCAATCGCCAGCGCAGCCAGCGCAGCCAGCGTAGCAACGATAAACCGCATCCTGAAATACCCAGGTAATCTGGCCTATCCGTGTCCTCCTGTAACGTGGCAATCTTCATCGCCATGTTCTCAGGGTTACCTTCCGCCAGCAAGTTGCCTCGGAGACAATTCAGTTTTACCTCCACCGCCGAGCGCGCCTTGATCCTGCCCCTCGAAACACAAATCCTGAACCCCAAGCCGGCTACTACATTTTGCTTGGTCCGCCGGTGCCAGGAAAGTCAAGACACATGTACAAAACGCGATGATACCATGTCTTGACGCGCAGCAGTCCGGTGAATCTCTAAGTACTGTAGCACCTGGAAAAAACTACCCACCCCTGACCATAAACACGAGAAAGCTGTCCGTGGCATCAAGCATCCTGCAGCGGCAGCCTAATGTTCAGCCGGTTTTCGAACGCGCACTTGCTTGAAGAGCTTTGCCCGGACTCGTTCGACCATGCCGATCTCCTGCGAGACGGTTCCGGAGTCGCTGCTCAGGCACAGGCAACTCGAACGGCCTTAACCCTCTCCTTTGAGATCTCAGTACCAGACACGTGAGGCAGGCTACTGGGCACAGCTTTTGGGATGTGGTGACCCAACCTGCGCATTGACCCGCTGGATGTCACGCAATCGCCCAAGCTGTGCCATCATCCGCTTCACCTTCCCGGAAGAGGTTAAGGACCACAGGTTTGTAGGGTGTCGGGTTCAAGAACGGAGCCACTTTCTCTGTGGGCTTCACAGGGTGCGCTTTATTTCCGCTTGGGGCAGAGGCTGCTTTGCTCTGTCAAGTTCGGATCTCTCGTGCCAGAACCCAGCGAAACCGTAAACTGTGTCATTCACTCCCCAAGAACTTCAAAGGCTGCACTGACGCGACAAAAACAGCGTAGCGGGACGTGACTATGTGTAGTAGCTGCTCTCATTGCAACTTTTTCCTGTAGGCTTGGTGTCGTTGTTAAATAGCGGTGACCATGCAGTTGTTGATGTTGGTGTTGCTGTTGGTCCTGGTACTGGTGCTGCAGCTGCTGCAGGTCCTGCTTGGTGCAGCTGGTGCTGATGTTGTTGCGTTTGCCGTTGCCTTTGGTGTTGATGTTGCTGTTGGCTAAAATGTCCATTGATGACGATGACGATGACGATGACGATGATGATGATGATGATGATGATGATGATGATGATGATGATGCCGGTGACGGTTCCGTTTAGCTTTCTTACTATGCTTCTGTATGATTATTATTGTTGCGTGTAAAATTACTGCGCTACTACTAAAATACTACGACATTTATTGCAGTTGCAATTACAACTGCAGCTACCTTTGCTTGCACTAATGTTTTCCTGCTGACCTCAATGTCAGCATTCTTCTTATTATTGTCCATATGAGCACTATTGCTATTAGCCTATTAATTTACTATTAGCATTAGGGCCACCATTTTTGTCATTGCTGCTATTACTCGTTTGTTGTTGTTGTTGTTGCTGGTGCTGTTGCTTTTGTGGTGGTTGTGGCGACAGTGGTCGTTGTTGCCGTTTCTGTAATTCTTGCCATTGCTGCTGCTGGTGGTGCTGATGCTGGTGCTGCGCTGGTGCTGGCCGGTGGCCGGTGGCGGTGGGGGGTAGTGGTGGTCGGCAGAGTGCTGGTGGTTAGCTTTGTTGCTGCCGCTACTACTATTGTGTCGCTGTCTCTGGCCGGCAAATTGAGCAGATGGAACAGACTCGTCTCGATACTACTGTCGGATGGGGGTTCTGTGCGTTCAATATACTGTAAAGTTCCTGTCATTCAAGCCTCAGAGTTTCGAGATCCAAGTCACCGAGTGAACAAGCAGTAAGCAACCATGCCACACATACATTCAAGTGCGTCTGCTGAGTCATGTGTGTGCCACTATTTGTCACCTAGATAAAAGAGAGTGCTGCGTTTGCTGCGGACAGTTAGACAGCACAAATGACAATGTGAACGAAATAGGAGCGAAGAATGAAGTGCATGTAACTTTTCCGGTGGGTTTTGGAAGAAGGATTCATTTGTAACTGCTACAAAGAACTAGGCCTTTCCAACCAACTAGACCCGAAGCCTCGGACTTGCGTCTAATTCTATTCTCTGGCAACCCCTCAACCCTAAAAAATGACAAACTTGTTCCTAAGCCGCCCCAAGACCCTAAATAAAGCCTTCAGCCCTGGCCTGGTTGATCTGTGCCTTCAGATGCGTCCGGAGGTCGTCGGAATCCCGTGTGGGTGTGTCCCGAATGGCCAGGAGCTGCCTCTGCGTCTCCGACCTGGGCGGCACGTGCGCTGAGTTGTCAATTTCAAAGGTTCGGGCTCGGACAGCTTAGTGTCTAGGAAAGGATCTGCATTTGATCAGGAAATCAATCACGCAGAGGTTTGGGTTCAAGCGAGACTCAGAAAGACTGCACAAGTTGGGCGACAGAGTTTGAGGGGTTTCGGGCTTAGGTTACAAGACAGAAAAAATACTGTACTTGTCTTGGGGTTGCAGACGGGTTACCGGTGTCGGGCCGCCACTGAAGCCTTTGTACATGCTCGGAAAACACACAAATCCCACCTCGAAACCCCAAACTTGAACCCCAAGTGTCCCAACTCAGAACCCTGAACGCCACATCTCCGAAGGCCCTGAAACTCGAAATCCAATCTGCAACTTCTCGCTGAACTGGGCGATGTCTCTCTCGTAAGAGCTGATCTTCGGCCAAACCTTCTCGGACCTCGGCGTCGAGATTCCATGGGTATTCGAGGCGCAGGATGAACAAACTCTGAAAGTACAGCTTCAATCCATTGTAGGGTATCCGGTAGAGGCCCTTATTACTGCATTACACTTTTTTGGAGGTGATACGACCGAGCCAAACCAGAGCCGGCTGACTCCCAGCCAACACACCGCATGATCCGAGAAGCAGAGTGGGTCATGGGTCTCACGTGGCCTCTCACCTCTGGCCTTCGAATGCTCCTTTTGCTGAACCTCTTTTCTGATCCCGTTCAGCTGGAAAGTCTGCTGCACCCGTGTTCCGCACAGGACGCAGCCACTGCCCTAAACCCCAAACCCCAACCTTGTGGGTCTCCCGTAATGCCAGTCCAGGGGTTCGGGCATCACAACTGAAGGTCTCTTCCCGGCGGGGTTCCCGCCCCAAGCAGCGACGTCAACTTGAAGTACAGATCGAATGACCAACTATACCGAATTTTGCCGCACGATCAGACATAGCAACATAGACGCACACAAAAAACAATCTAGAATCCAATCGCCGCGAACAAGGCACCCCTTAAAGGCAAAGGCATCCCCTGCCAAACCCAAACCAAGCGCTGACAAATGCAAGCTCAAAACAACCAGTTCCAAATGCCCTTAAATCCTCCGCGAAGCCTTTAGTCTGTAGCCCCACCCACCCCAAAACCATCACACCCCATCTACATTCCCTGTTTACCTTGAGCAACTACTAAACTCAAAAAACCTATTGCTCTGAACCGTTCAGAGAATTCCGAAGCCCTAAATCCCAAAACTCAGAACATCGCTGAACATCTGCCGCGACACTCTTTTCTGAGCCTCTGCACGAGATCCGCCAAACTCCGGGCTTCTGGGCCCTCCTCATCCAGGACCTGCAGATACCAAGAAACCATCAGCCGACCACCAGGAGACAGACCACCAGGACACGTCCAAAATGCCTTCCTCAAGTACTGGCGGGCTTCAGGAGGACGTCCGAAATGCTATCCACCAAACACTGGCGAGATTCAGGAGCATAGCCAAAGTGCTTTCTCAAGTACCTTTCGTGCTTCGGAGGCCACAACACGCTTCATGTATTGGAGTGTCACATGACTGTGGGCTTCCGTGGGACGAGGCCCGACGGATCCGTGTAAAGAGTAAAGAATGCCACGTGGGCGAAAAGTACGCGCTGCGCCACAGCGGGAGCCGCATCACGGGAATTGTTGCGCGTGCACCGTGCTGCAGGCCCAGGGTCAATTCAGTCGGCTGCTCTAAGGCTTCAGCGGTAGCACGCATGCGTGAGTCATCCCATTACTTGGGTAACGACTCCTTCAGCGATGCACTGTGCTGTGTGTCGCGTGCAAAAACTCCAGACACAGAGTTTACCCACTAGTTTTGGGTACATGCCGACGATCATGCATCAGCGCCGGCACGAATAACCCTGCAACCATAGAACTACCCACAGGGGTTCCTATTGTCATGATGCACAGCAGGCAGCTCCGCCGCCAGGAGGGAAAGAACTGATCATTAGTAGTGATGCCTAAGTGATTCAGTTTTGCATATGACAGTCTGAAGTATCTGCTATGGGAATACAGCTCAGGACCCATCAATACTGATTATTTACATAAGCCATTGAATAACATTGTGACCCGCGATGATAGCAACGACCCAGATGGTCCCAGCAACAATGAAGCCAAAATGCCTAAGTCACATCCCAGCCACGGGCTTGTCTTCCACTGCATTACATTACACTACAATACCTTACATGGCATTGCAATGCCCTGCATTCCGTTACACTGCACTGCAATATCTTACAAACACTACACTCCCCTGCATTATATTACACTACATTGCATTGCGTCACACTGTGTTACGCTACAATACACAGCCGAGCACTGCATAGCCTTCGAACTAGCATAGCACAGCACACTGCCATAGCAAGGCATTGGCTCGACTAGCCGACCGAAAACATAGCATAGCATAGAATAGCATAGCACTGCATGACATATCCTGGCATTGCATAGCCGATGTGTCTACGTTAGCATCTGTGTGTGTGTGTGTACGTACATATGGTATGTGAATATATTAATACCGGTAATTGGGAAATAAGCGCATATACAGTGTAAGTATGTATGCATGTAGGTATGTATGTGCGCATGTGTGTTATGTATGTATGTATGTATGCATGCATGCATGCATGCATGCATGCATGCATGCATGCATGCATGCATGCATGGGTGTATGTATGTATGCATGTATGTAATGCGCGTATGCATGTATGTAGGTATGTATGTATGTGTGTATATGTGCATGCATGTATATGAATGTATGTATGTATGTATGTATGTATGTACGTGCATATGTGCAAATGTGTGTGTGTGCACATGCAAGTGCGCGTGTATGTGTGTATGCATGTATGTATGTGAGTATGTAT